AAAATACACTGGATAGGGATCAGCAGTTAGCATAATGGCTATGTCGCTGGACTCCCATGTAGTCGACCGCGGTTCAAGTCCCAGACCCGGTGGCTTAAAACTCACGCCGGGTGCATGTGCATGCATGCCCAAGATCCCAAGAGGAGAATGGAGGAGATGGGATTTCGACGTGGCCATCGCCCCTGGGGGGTGATTTCTTGCTTTCTGTCTCTCTGTCTCTCTCTGCCTCTCTGGTGAGCACATGTGCCCTATAGCAAAAATCTCTCAAAAGAAAGAAAGAAAGAAAGAAAGAAAGAAAGAAAGAAAGAAAGAAAGAAAGAAAGAAAGGAAGAAAGAAAGAAAGAAAGTAAGAAAGAAAGAAGAAAGAAAATACACTGGATAGGGTTAATGACAGATTATATCTTACAAACAAAAAATTATAAAAACAAAGAAACACACAGGGATCAGCAGATAGTGTAATGGTTACAGTGCTGGACTCCCATGTAGTTGACTGTGGTTCAAGTTCTAGACGTGGTTTAAACTCACGCCGGGTGCATGTGCTTGTGTGCCCAAGATCCCAAGAGGAGAATGGAGGAGAAGGGATTGCAGCATGGCCATTCCCCCTAGTGGGGGGTGATTTCTTGCTTTTCGTCTCTCTGTCTCTGTCTTTCCATTGAGTGCACACACCCTACAGCAAAAACATCTCAAAGAAATAAAAAATAAAAATAAAAACAAACAACACACACAAGCACAAGAAGCACAAAGAAAAGGAAAATAAAACAGGATCAGCAGATGGCATAATGGTTACATTGCTGAACTCCCACGTAGTCAACCACAGTTCAAGTCCCAGACCCGGTGGCTTAAAACTCACGCTGGGCTCATGTGCGTGCATGCCCAAAATCCCGATAGGAAACTAGAGGAGAAGGGATTGTGGTGTGGCCATCCCTCCGGGGATGATTTCTCTCTTTCTCTCTCTCTGTCTCTCCAGCAAGCACATGTGCCCTATAGCAAAAATCTCTCTAAGAGAAAAAAAAAAAAGAAACTAAAACAAATAAATAGAGCATGAGTGAAGATGATATGACTTCAAGAAACCAAATATACATGCAACTAAAGTGATCATAAGAGAGGCGAGAGAAGTCCAAAACAATTTGAAGATAAAATGGCCAAAATTTTTCAAAAGTTGATGAACACTATAAACCCAAAGATCTGTGCAGCTAAACAAACCCTAGCACAAGAGGCATGAAGAAATCTACACTGAAGCATATCATAACCAAATTGCTTAAAATCAGCAGTAAAAAGAAAATCTAGGCTAGCACACAGTTATACAAATGCTGATCCATATGAAAGATCAGCAGTTCCTTTCCTGGGCTGATTTGTACATGTGAAATGTGTATGTATGCCCATGATCCGGGCTAACTGGGAAGACTGGGAAGAGAATCACAGTTTGAGACTCTGTCAATTATTTCTCTCTCTCTCTCTCTCTCTCTCTCTCTCTCTCTCTCTCTCTCTCTCTCTCTCTCATGCATGTGTCCTCTGGCATATAAATAAAGAAGTGGGTCATGCTGATGTAAAGAAGACTCAATATTGTTTAGATGTCAGTTCTCTCAAAACTGCTCACTAGATTCAACCTAACCATGATCAAATTCTAACAGTATTTTTTTCATAGTAATTGGCAAGATGAGTCTCTGTTATATAGAAATCAAAACACTTAGAATATCCAAAGGAATTGTTATTTTCTTTTTCTTTTAATTTTGACAGAAGGCATGTGTGCTCACCCAACAGAAAAGAGAGAGAGGGAAAGCAAAAAACACTTTCCATGGGACCTGGTCATACTGCCATCTCTTCTCTTCCATTTTTCCGTCCTGTCAGGATTTAGGGTATGCATGCACACATGCCTGGTTTGTTTCTCAAGTCCCTGGGTCTGAGACTTGAACCACCCCAAAGGAATTTTTTAAAATGGAAAGTTTAGAGGACTTATACTACTTAATTTCAAGACTTACTATAATGCCATAGTAAGCCATGTAATGTATATTAGACATTAGAATATACACACACATATAGGTCAATGGGAGAGAATAGTAACCCCAGAAATAGATCCATGTTTATATAACTGATTGATTTTCAACAGGAAATTCAAGGAGGAGTAGTCTTTCAACAAATGGTTCTGAAATAACTGGGTATTCATATGAAAAAAAATGAACTTTGACCTTAACTTCACATATACAAAAATTAACTCAGTGGGACCAGTAGTTAGCATAATGGCTATGTCAGTGGACTCCCATGTAGTCGACCGCGGTTCGAGTCCCGGACCCAGTGGCTTAAAACTCACGCCGGGCATGTGTGCGTCCATGCCCAAGATCCAGAGAGGAGAATGGAGGAGAAGGGATTGTGGTGTGGCCATTCCCCCTGGGGGGGTGGTGATTTCTCGCTTTCTAACTCCCTGTCTCTCTGTGTGTTTCTGGCGAGCACATGTGCCCTATAGCAAAAAACTCTCAAAAAAAAAAAACAAAAAACTCTCAAAAAAAAAAAAAAAAGTAAAAAGTAAAAAAAGGTAGTGCTACCAATTTACCCAACAACATGAATGAATCATCAAAACGTTAGGATTAGTCAGAGGTCAAACGCAAAAAGAGTACATGTCTATGTTTTCATTTATGTAAAACTCTAGGAAAAACATATCTAATCTCTAGTAATGGAAGGCAAATCAGTGGAGTAGAATTTGGGGATTGACTGGAAGAGGCATAGGAGAATCATACATGGTAATAGAAATATTTTATATCTTAATTGTGGTTGTGGTTACACAGGCATATATATATTTGTGAAAACTCATCCAACTGTGTAAAAACTACAATTTTAAATTAATGTAAATTGTATTACAATGAAATTATGTTGCTTTTTTTTATTTTTCAAAAAAGCATATGTATTAGAATGGCCAAAATTCCAAAACTAACAATATCAAACATTGGCGAGAATGTAAGAACACTAATTTATTGCTGGTGGAAATGCAAAATGATACAACCATTTTAAGACACAAAGCTGAACATTATTTTACTACACAATCCAATAATCATGCTCCAACGTATTTACCCAACTGATTTGAAAATATATGTTCACACAAATACCTGCATATGGATTTTTATAGCAGCTTTACTCGGAATCACAAACCTGGAAAAAACCAAGATGTCCTTCAATAAGTGAATGAATAAACATACCATAGTATATCTGTACAGATGGAATATTCAGTAATAAAAACAAATGAGCTATCAAACCATACAAAGACATGCTTGAATATTAAATAAATATTTCTCAGTGAAAGAAGCCAGTCTTAAAAGGCTATATGGCATGGGGATGGCAAACAAATCATGATTGTCAGGGGTTTGAGGTGAGATAGGGAAAGTTAAGTAAGTGAATACAGGGGATTTTTTAGCACAGTTAAACTATTCAGAATGATACCATAATGGTAGATACTTTACGTTATTCCATGTTTCAAGAAAGCATATAGATGAGTGTGATAGATTATAGAACAGTGTACCATAACACAGTAAAAAAATGTTGTTGACAATTCAATATATATTTCCCAAACAAAACAAAATTAAAACTATTATCAAATGTGCACAACATAATGTAATGTTCAATGTTCAATAAAATTAATATGTCTACCTCTTTGATTTGGTGGTTATATACTACAGAGATGCTTTGAAAAACCATATTGTACCCTACAATAGATATACAATAATTATATGTTAACCAGAAACACAGTAAGAAAACCCTTGGAACTTCACATTACAAAGAGTAAACCTTAATTTATGCAAATGAAAACATTATTTATGAAGTTAAGGGATCTCAGGACGAAAAACAGAATGTGAAAAAATAATATACACCTGAACCCTGTTACCCAGTCTAGGGTCAAGAAGGCAGGACTAATTCAGCCCCAGCACCTCCAACCTGATCTTGCAGTTTTAGAATTAGAAGGTAGGAGGGATTTGTCTTTCCTGTGCTAACATTTCCTTATCCTTCCCCCATAGGAGCAGAGGGATAGTAGGTCTTTTAAACAGACATTCTCCATCTGAAGCCTTCTATCCAGTTGAGAGTCCCATTGATTGGGTTTGCCTGCCATAGTGCAGCACACAATTATTTTTTTTACCACCTTATATTATCACTTTGCTTCTCAGCCTCCATCTGCACAAGGACTAGAGAGATATAAGTATATTGGAGACAACCATCTAAACACTGTGAGGCTCTGGAGGAATTCTCTCCCTATGCTGAACCCACCAGTTAAAAGAAACTCTTCTTTGTAAATATGAACCCAAGACGCCTGCTGTGGATACCACATTGCAAACCATAGAAATTGGCACAGAGCTAATTCACAACAAAGGGAAGCATTCGTGATCACACAGCTACAAGAAACCTACCAAGGACCAGCAGTTAGCGTAATGGCTATGTTGCTGGACGCCCATGTAATCAACCACAGCTCGAGGTCCGCCCTGGTGGCTTAAACTCTAGCCGGGCACATGTGCGTGCGTGACCATGATCCTGAGAGAATGGAGGAGAAGGAATTGTGGCGTGCCCCCTCCAGCAAAAACCTCTCAAAAAAAAAAGAAAAGAAAAAAAAGAAACGTACTCCAAAGAATTAGCAAGAAGTGAAAAGATCACTGAATGACTAAAAATCATAGAAGAGCTTCAACTCTGAAAAAACCAGGAAATAGTTCCCCAACAAGGAAACACAATAACTCATCTCCAACTGTGAAAAAAAAATAAGGAGGAAATCACTGAAATGTCAGAAAAAGAATTTAGAGTATTTATGGTAACTAAACTTTTTTTGGTTTTGTTTTGTTTTGTTTTGTTTTTGAGGGTCAAAAATGCCTCACATGGGAAATCTGACATCCTCCCACCCTAGATACCATTTAGATGTCTTCAATGTCATAGTGCCCACTTAGTCCAAACTCCTCTTACAAGCCACCCCTCTCCCTGCCCTTGATAATTTCTGAAATTTCTACAGGCAAGACTTAATTTAATAAATGCTTCTATATGGGATGGGTGATCTTGAGCCTGCGGGGAGCAAGCAGGCTCCAGATTCCTCCAAATCCACATTTCTTTGCCTCCAATTCTTACGTGTCCGGAGTGGTAACTAAACCTAATGAGATGCAAGAGAAAAAGACAACCAACTTCAGAAGATAAAAAAAAAAATCATTCCATGACTTGAAGATAAAAAGATAGACACCAAAACAAACAAACAAAAAAGAATCAAACAGAACTTCTAGAGATGAAGACTCTACTACAAGAAACTGAATCCTCCCCCAATAGTATTAATAGCAAATTAGGCCATGCAAAAGATAGGCTCTCTGATCTAAAAGACAAAGTATCTGATTTAGACAAACCTACCAAAATGAATGAAAAAATAACAAAACAAAACAAAAAATGAGGACAACAAACAGGAAATATTAGATAACATTAAAAGATCAAATATCCAAATAATGGGATTTCAGAAGGTGAAGAATTTGAAAAAGGCATAGAAAATCCATTCCATGAAATATTTGCAGAAAACTTCCCAAACCTAGAGAGACATCCAAACATCCAGACACAGGAAATACAGAGGATGACAAATACAATCAATATTTAAAGATCCTTCCTCAAGGAACATTATAGTGAGAGATGTCAAAATCAAGGAAAGGCAAGATTCTTTTTTTTTTTTTTTGGAGAGGTTTTTGCTATAGGGCACATGTGCTCACCAGAAAGACAGAGAAAGCGAGAAATCACCACCCAGAGGGGAAGGCCATGCTGTAATCCCTTCAACTCCATTCTCCTCTCGGGATCTTGGGCACACATACACATGTGTTTGGCATGAGTTTAAGCTACCAGATCCAGGACTCGAACCACGGTCGACTACATAGGAGTTCAGCAACATAGCCATTATGCCAACTGCTGGTCTCAGAACAGGATTCTAAATATGCAAAAAAGAAATGTCAAGTTTCTTACAAAGGTTATCCTGTTAGTCTAACATCAGACCACTCAGCTGAAACAATGCAAGCAAGGAAGGAATGGGCAGACATATTCAAAATGCTAAAAGAAAGTCAGTTTCGATCAAGAATACTATACCAATCAAGATTATCTTTCAAATGGGAAGAAAAAATAAAAAGGATTCTAAATATGCAAAAAAGAAATGTCAAGTTTCTTACAAAGGTTATCCTGTTAGTCTAACATCAGACCACTCAGCTGAAACAATGCAAGCAAGGAAGGAATGGGCAGACATATTCAAAATGCTAAAAGAAAGTCAGTTTCGATCAAGAATACTATACCAATCAAGATTATCTTTCAAATGGGAAGAAAAAATAAAACCATTGTCAGATAAACAAAACCTCAAAGAATTTACCAACACTGGAATGGCTAAGATTAAAAAATTATAATGATAAGTGTAGACAAGGCTGTGGAGAAAAGGGAACACTCCTACACTGTTGGTGGGAATGTATATTAGTTCAGCCACTGTGGAGAACAATATGGAGGTTCCTCAAAGACCTAAAAATAATGAGAACCAGCAGTTAGCGTATGGCTATGTTGCTGGACTCCCACGTAGTCGACCGCGGTTCACGTCCCGGACCTGGTGGCTTAAAACTCACGCCGGGCGCGTGTGCGTGCATGCCCAAGATCCCGAGAGGAGAATGGAGGAGAAGGGATTGCGGCGTGACCATCCCCTCTGGGGGG